CCCCCCCCCCCGCTTGTCGAATTGCTCTCCCCATCGGCCACCCGATCGTGCACCTACTCGGTCCAAGCCAACACGAGGCCCCGCCCCATGGAAGGACCAGCACAGCTCCTGGCACGCGCGAGGCGTTGCTCGTCAATACGTAAAAGTCACATACTCATATCCCGGATCTACACCTCCCTTCCGGTATTCGCCCTATATCAAAACTCCCCATGGACAAATTGTTTCCGTGTGAATACCGACATTTCTCGAAAACTAATCCGGCTACTTGTCAAGGACCAGGTGGCACTGATAAGAGCCCCAAAACGGACTTCGTCTTCGGATTCTTGCTCCGCGGAGCCGGCTTACTCAAGGGATGTGACGCTCGCGGAGCTTGCGACTTGGAGAAGTAGATTCGTGAAGCTTTGAGCGGCGGGTGCGCAGGCCAGCGTGGATTACGAGAAGGATCTCCTCTGCGACCCCCACTACGGGGGTCGCGCATTGTGTGGCCGCCTTTGGGCCGTGACCCAGTTCCCGATTCTCGTTTCTGCTGCGTTTCAACGCAACCTTCGTGGTGGGTTTTCGCTAGAGATTGTTGGGTTGTGGGGTTCGAAATTCGTACTCCCGACGGTACCTCCGCATGCGTTTGAATTTCCACGCGGCGGTGGACTCCGTCCGTTGCGCCGGCCTCCCTCCCCCCGCCTTGGACTACCCTTCTTCTAGGAAACTGCCAAGTTTCATCCAACTTAGTCGTACATTCATATACGGCATTCATCCAACTTCACCGTCGCGGGTCACCACCCGTGCGGTTCTGGATGTGGTTTAAATGGATGGATGAACCATCCGGCTTCGTCCCTTTATATATGTTTTGGGTTTGGGTTCGCTCTTTTTATTTAATTTTTTATTTATTTACTGTGTATGACAAAAGTTTCAGTAGTGGAAAGCGGTTTTGGCCACATGGGGCTTCTGCTTTTCTTCATTGAAAGTTGTTGTCCATCAACAATAACTGTGATGATGAATGACTAAGAAGAATATTCAAAGAGAACAATGAAAGATTGTACTGATGCATGTTTCAACTAATTTTTGTTGTTTGTGTTTTTTGTTAAATTATTTGCATTCGTTTCCTAATTATGATTAAAGCTTGCCACAATATCACAAGTTACATTTAAGAAATTTTATTATTGTATTTTTTATTTTTTAATTTTATATTTATATGAATGATAATCTAATATAATAATGTTAATAACTGCACCATTAGGAAATGTAAGAAAAAGGCATCAATCTCCCCTATGTAATATTTTACAATGAAAAATAAATTTGTAATCTCTTTGAAGATAATCATACATAATACTTTACACCTCTAATACTAAAAATATTGTGTGTACATAATCTTACATACAAAAAATCCAGATATAATCATCAGAAAAAAGACTTTATATATATATATATATATATATATATATATATATCATTAAGAAATTTCTTAAAAAAATAATGAGAAAATGTAACATTAAAAGAAATATGTACAGAAATATCGACAAATTTATTTTTCATTCCTAAAAAACTTGGAAAAAGTTAGTGAATCAAATCAAAGTTACATCATGCATTTATTTTTGTTGAATCTCTCACATGTTTTGTCAATAATTTTAACCATGCTAAACTTTTATCTAGAAATTAATTTAAAATTTTGATTTCTTTGAATAAAAGGTAATAATGAAAATGATTATGTGCATCTATCTATCTATCTATCTATCTATATATCTTAAAACACAATGTGATAATACTCTATTGCATGTATATATTTGAAGCTATTGTTTTACGATAATAATAAAATATAATAAAAGAATATTTTTTAATTTGATTTTTTATGCTATTTAATTTTATAAATTCTACATTAGTAATATAATTAAATACATTTATTTATTTTTTATTAGAAACTTTTTATAATATTGTTACTTTGATTAAACTTATATTGTGTTTAGAGCTAGTATTGTGGTCTAAAATCTTTGTATTTTAATGGAATATCCAAATATAAAATTATAAAATACTTAAACTCTACTTAAAAGCTAACAAAAGTAAAAAAAAAAAAAACTAATGTACATATTACCTAATACTTTAGATAATAACTAAAATATTATTTAAAAATTAATTAAATAATTTTTTAAAACAAAAATTATTGAAACATATTTAAAACAAGATTAATTAGTAATAAAGATAAATAAAAATATTAAAATATAAAGCAGTTAGAATATTTTAGTTGTATATATTTTAGTTATATATATATACAACTAAAATATTCTAACTACTTTATGTTCTAACTGCTATATATATATAACAAAAATATTAATTAAAAAAATACTTTGAAAATATTTCTATTAAATTAAAACTAACATGTATGTTGTTAAATCTTAAATAATATAATATATATCTATTTTTATAAATGATTTCTTAAAATAAAAATTAAATAAGTTTCTAAATATAATGGCATAATAAATCTAATTTTAGAATTTAGGTATCATTGACAATTGTATAATTTTAACAATATAAGATGACCATGGTAATTGAAAGTGTTATAAATCTTCGTACAAATAATTAATATTATTAAGAGGATAATATTATTATATTAATACTATATTAATAATGGTTATAAAATAATTAATATACACAATCAATAAAGATAGAAAATAATAGGTTGGTAATACAATTAAGTGCAATTGGATTATAAAATAAGATAGTGTTTTGATAAAATTTAAGATATAGATAAATTTACTAGATACAATGCATTTATAAAATGTATAAGTGATTTTGCAAAACATGTATCCAACTTACATTCTAAATGTTTACTTCATTTTTCTAACATCCATGTGTATTTACAAACATAAATGTCAAGTAGTTGCCTTGTATTTTGTGTGCAGCTTTGAGGTTAAAAAAGAAAAACCATCTATAAATAATCATATATGGTTAGGGACTTAAGATTTGTTAAAATATTTTAGTGTGAAGAGCCATTTAAACGTTTTATACATCCAATATTAGATACTAAGAAGGTGTTCATTTTGCTATGGCCATGTGTCAGTACTATTAGTTTATAAGATTATAAATTTTTATTGTGTGATGATTTATCTCTCAAATAAAAAACATATTTGGTTTTATTTGGTAATAAATTTTATTTTGTTTGATATTACTTTATTAAATCAAAATTAAAAACATTAACAAGACAAAGCATGTATATGTGTGTGTATATATATATATATATATATATATATAAAATAAAGATGATCTTAGATTGTTTTAAATATTAATTTTATATGAATAAAATTTTGACTTTTTAGTATTTATAATTTATTTTAAGTATTCTACTATTATTTATTTGCAAAAAACTATCATGATTTTGATTTATTTTTTAATGCTATTTATTTAGAAACTTAGTTTTAACTTTTACCTATATTTTTGATACAAATTTAGTAATGAATATCAAAATCCTAAATATATTAGAAAAAAGATATTTTTATATAAGATTTAAAAATATTGCTACTATATTATTGATTAGTACTAAAATCCTTAAAAGATACATACTTTCAATAACTATAACAACATAATATTGTTATTGTTACATTTACATTAATTCAATCTAATTTCTTCTAAAATAAAAATAAAGTATTAAATATTTTATAATTCTAATTTTAGTATTAATATTTTAAAAAATATTTTTAAATATAAAACTTAGATTGGTCAATATATAATTATTTATATAATTATATATTAGAATTAGTATACATCATATAAAATTAGTGTATTTTTCTTACATATAAGTTTTATTTAGCTCTTGTTTTTATAAACTATAAAATATTTGAAATATTTTCTTCTTAAATATTATATTATTATGAATAAATAGGTATAAATAAACTTTATTAATTTTTTTGAAGCAATATTTTATTAAAAATATATTTTTTTCATAAATTTTTTCTATTAAATATAATTTTATTTGAAATTACAAAAATAAAAATAGAATATGATATATTGTATATTTTTAAATTTAATAAGTCATATTAGAAACCAATTATAACTAAAATTCATATAAATAAATTTATACTGATAGTTGCATTTTATAGGAATTATTGAACATTTTTAAGATAGATTTTAATTTTTGTATTTTTATCGACCAAAATTAATTCGTAATTAATAATATAATTTTAGTTTTTAATCTATATGAATAAATAAATATTTTTTAAATTTTAAATAAATAATAAGATACACACTTAATTAAATTTATAAAAAATAGAAAATTGAAGTTGAAGAACCAAATTTCTTATATATTTTTTGTTGTATAAAAATAGTCTAGAGTTAATTTATTGTGAATTCTTTTTTGTAACAATTTTTTTATGCTCAACCGTTCTTGTAATTTTTATACTATTCATGAGTTTTCTTATTAAATTACCAAATATGTGTGTTTAAGGAAATCTTTCAGAAAGAAAAAATATTTATAAAACTAATTACATCTTATTAAAGGATCTTTTACGCTATTTAAAATTAAATATAAAAAGTGACATATTTTATTTCTAAAATATAATAAGCAAAATTATTAATTTTTATCTTAATAATGTTTTATTTATATAGATTATTAATTAATAAGGTATTATCATAATTAAAATTTATATTAAAAAATAAATTATTTGGATTTTTTTCAAAAATTATGTAAAACATACATATATTTTTATTATTTCTCTATGAATCAAATAAAATAATTAAAAATTATAATATATGTAATTATATTCTATAAATTATGTATAAATAAGTCTCAACATAATAAAAGTATTGAAATAATAGTCATTATTATAAAATAGAATATAATATAATCTATAATTAAAAAAATAGTGGATTCTTTTATCATATACCTAGTCTAATTTGTTGCATACAACACCAAATA